ACAACTTTGCAACGTCTCAGTTCCTGTCCAAAGTATAATTCCATTCTGAAACATGCATATAAAAAATGGCTAATTCTTAATTGGTCCCAGACACAGTGTATTAACAACAAACTGACATTTACCATTGTCCACTCTCGATTATATACACAGGCAGAACATCGCCTGTATCTTATGTATATAAAATATTAATATTTTTATACGTCCGTAGACATAAATTTCTATATTCCTTCTCGATCACAGAAAATTCGTACGTCACAAATAGTGCGGTAATTAAATAGATATGGTCCATTGTCTGAAATATCTATTTTGCTGTCAGACCGAAAAAATTCAAAGAATATTATCTGTCAGTTCTGTATACATTATGTCGAAAATCTTGTAAGACAGAATCTGTAGTTCTTAGTTTGCCTAGCTTCATATTTTATGACATTCACCAGTTACATATTTCTCACTCTCTTTTATGGGAATTCATACAAATTAGGGTTTGTACTAAACATATAGGAGCAGTAAATTAACCGATAACTTTTAATGTAGATTTTAATTTAATTTAATTCCTAGCGCTGTTTAATGGAGATGGAAGGACAGACAAACACTACCGCCTAATGATGCTCTATTTAATGCAATTTGTGCAACGTTTACATAATATAGGCCGTACCTCAAACGATGGAACATTACCAACACAACAGTATCATTGTCATTGTCACAAATGCTTCGTCACAATTTTTGTGGATGTATATTTATGGACCACACCAAGAGATAAAATCTGAGTGAGATCGAATAATATTTTTTTGGCAAATGGAAAAGGGTTTTTCGTTACAAATTCGTATTTTAATATTGATAAACCATTTCTGTACAAACCGGCTCACTGTATGAAAAAAGCAAGCCAGACTTCTATGTAAATGGCGCTCAACACGGGAGCGCGTATCTGTGCGATATTGAAGTAAACTAAGAACATATTTTTTTTACAGAAAGGCATAAGGAATTTAGTCTTTACAAGATTAAACATGTTTTAAAACAACTGTATAAAAAGATAAATGACGTAACCATAGACGCTTAAACACATCTTGTTATAATGAATTCTGCAATTACTTAAATGTAAATGTAGTTAATTGCTTGAGCGTTATGCGGTTACAGTCATGTTCACTTGTAAACTTAACATTTAAATAGGCTCGCCGAGAACTGAACCCGGAACCTTCCGAATACGATGCATGAGTGATAACCACGCGTGACTGCGACGTTCAGTTTACACGATGTTCTCCTCGTGTTGGCCTATAATATTTACGGGAACAATTCAAATAGTTTGCGCTAAAACGGGATAACTCACTCACCACCTGTGGCTTCTGTTTCATTTGCTAAATAGTTCGGGATATCAAGTCTGAAATCCTCAAGCTACTGCTTTCTTATTTCCGTTCTAGTCGTTGTTTTTCTTCCTGAATCGCCTTTAGCTTCCAAAGACGCTTTAAATTTGTTCTAGTGACGTCGTCTTCTGGCATCAGTCTGAGTGCGTCCTGGTACCGGGCCTCCGCGTCTTCCATTCTTCCAGTGAGGTGATACAAAGCACCCAAATTTGCCACGCTCGAAGTGTCCTAGAAATACATAAAAAAAAAAACTCTTTTACTTACAGCTTCAGTTATGGGTCGAACCTCTAATTTTGTGTTAGAGAAAGTTATTTCTGCTTCTTTGCAATAATTTCCTTGAGCATCAGAAGTTATTCAAGTAGTCAAAGATTGCCATCACCATCACAAAAGACCGAAATTAAACAATGTCTTGGGGCAGTTTAATAAGTTAATGTTTTATATTCATTTATCTGTTATCCTTTTTATTTCTTCCTAATTTATAATGTCTAGGAACCGAAGGTAACTAGATTTTCTGGTGTTCCTTAATTTTGCATTAAAAATAACAGTTCTCTATATTTTAATTTGAAGTTTTAGATGACAGACGGGAACATAAACGATGCTGGATCAGCATAGTAGCAAGCACGTGTTCTTAATTTGTTCGTGAATGTAGTATTGATGTATTTTATCGTTCCCAGATGTCTGAGCTTTCTCAAGACTTCGTAGAAATGTGTCAGGGGTTTATTACAGTGTCCGTCGCTCATTTAACAGCTAGTCAGTCAGACACTGACCTCCGGCCGCAAGGAGATGGCCAGCTTGTAGTTCCTCTCGGCACCCGCGAAGTCCCCTGCCATACGGAGGCTAGTGGCGGCGGCCACCACGTCCTCAAAGTCAGGAGTCGTCGAGAGTGCGACAGCTTCTTCCAACTTTGAGGCTGCTTCCGCGTACCGTTTCTGCGCGAGTAGGAACTGACCTGTGAACAATGAAATCCGTTATTGTTATCCGAAATGGTCCAGAGTCTACCTGATACTATGTGATGTTTAAGAAAATATAACGTTTTCAGCATCAATAAATTTATAAAAAAAAATTCTGAAATGATTCAGATGTACACATCACCTCTCAATCATCGCGTTTGATTACCCAATCTCCATGCGACGGAGGAGAAAATATAAATCTTGATTGCTGGCGAGTTACAATACCAATGACGTACATAATCTGCAAAAGCCAACGTAAAAGTTTCAGTGGACAAACCAGTACAGCAGCAAATTATGAAGGGTCTAACAGTGACGTGACCAGTACTCATTAATCCATCTTTGTTGGCCTGTCAACGACTTTACATGATGGATTAGCTACGAGACTTTAATCACATGAAATGGGAACACAGAACGCCATTCCAGCATTAAAGTAAACGATACTTGTTACTTTCAAACTGCATTATGCTGTCTGCGTAAAACAGTTCCCATTGGTTTTGCGCCACGAGATTGAGTTACATAATTCAAATAACTGTTATATGGGATCGAAAACTGTCCCCTACTTAAAAGTGAATTCCACTAATTTATGACATCAGAAGATAATACTAACACTTGTTGAGAATATTTTAATTTCAGTTGTATGACGTGCGAACAAAATTGTAAAATGGAAATTTTCGTAACTTGTAATTTCATGTTACAAGATTTCGTGTCAGTACATCGAGGATATGTGACAACATGTTCGTATAACAAGCACAGTAGACACAAGAAATATGTACAAAATTCTGATGTGAAATTAATGCAAAATAAATACGTCTACCATAATTTAAATTAAGTAAGAATTAAATTTTAGTGCATAACGTGTAGCTGAGTAGTTTGTAATATTCTCAGTGCATTGTTACAGTAGGCTGATACAGATATCACAGAAATAACAGAAACTAGACATAAACAGGAAGTTTTGCCTTGAAAACGTAATCGAAACAGAGAGCATTTGGAAGTAAGAAAGGTAAGGTAAAAATGAGAGTATAAACAAACTACTTCGCGTAACGCTGTTATAAAACCAGCGTTACTTAGCTAGTTACGAAGTCAATTAGCTAATTTGTTAGGGAGTTACATAGTTCACTTCGGTTAGATAGTTTAATCGCGTTAATTACTTAGTAATTTGGTTGAAGAGTTACGTAGTTCACTTTGGTTAGATAGTTTAACCGCGTTAATTACTTAGTAATTTGGTTGACTAATTCATTCTTTTTACCAGTTTACTTATGTTAGATTTAGTTATTTCACCAGTTACTTAGTTTTCATCTCAGTTACTAAGTCAGAAACATGAAACACGAAGTTAATCTCCAGTCTCTGTAATACAGTTTAGGCGTACTTTCATTTAATGACAAGTTTCCCCTTTAAATCCTACCCCCTAACGCCACGAGCACATCTAGAAGTTAGCACTTTCTAAGTACCCTCAGACTCCCGTCTTCCAGCAGATCATCCCTATGGACCACAACGGGAATAGAGGCACCACGCCTTTACAACCCCTAGCGTCTGTCCTTGGGGATGTCATATTAATTCCCGTAATAACTACGCGGAACAAATAAACCTGCACACGTGGCCACCCCCTCTCACCCCTCTCGTGTGTGAATGCCCCGCCTAACTCCCCACGAGCTAATAACACGGACATTTTCTTCCGTCTGTATGTCAATCATTTTGAAGCATCACTGGCATATAACACGATCAGAGCTGGGACGGGTCGAGTTCATGGCGCGCCTTTCGAGAAGGGTCGAAGACGACCGTCGACCGCGGGGAACTTCGAGTCTTGCTGAGCGACTGTCAGTTTCATGAGTAGGGACTCTTCCAAAGAATCGGCTATAAATTACATTTTCACTACACAAAACTAAAAATCATTTATATGCATCGATTTTGATATAAATGTAGATATTACATTGGTTTTCAAAGTTGATTCTCCTGGATACCCCTGAATTCATATCCTCATAACAATTTCTCGATCCGGTATGTAGCATTTTTTAACAGCATTCAGTATTTGCGAATAGCTCTTTCGACTGCGTGATTAACATAGCGTTTAACCGAAAGATGAGTCAAACGAAATCTTTTGCGTCTGTATTTCCTATTCGGATCTCAGAATTTTTCGTAGTCTCGCAAGATAAATGTAGGACTAGTACCCTAAAACAGAATACAACTGCCTCCTTCCAAATCCTTACCTCATAACCGCTGCTATTTTATATCCTACATTTGAAACAGCAACATTATGTTATATAACGTATCGTACTTTCAATTAACATCGTATTAGCGGTGGTTTCAATAATTTGTTGCGAAGGATGTGTAAGAAATCGATCGCGGACTGTATAACGTATTTATTACACCATTCCAGCCATTTTAGCCACGGAGAAACTGAGGAAAAACTAAGCAGTACCTTAAGCTGAACAGTCGGTCTCAAAGCAGGAACTTACGATGTGTAAATGTATTTTCCTTCCCTCTGTGTCTTGAGAGCTTTCGAACAAGGTTCCTTTCTGAGCGAAGCGAAGCTTTGCATCAATTATGCAACACCCACCAACTGATTTAGCAGAATCTGATACGAAGCTACTACAAGTAGTCTGTAAGCTTTGCACATACACTGATGAAAGTAAGGGCTTTTGTAATTCTAAAATGGCTGTCTTATGGGTTGTTGCATGGTGTAGTCAGGTATAAGTTCACCAAGTTTTCAGAGGTGCTTGCTGCCTCCATCATCAGGGCGGTGAAACGTCTGTAAGTTTCTATCTGACTACACGTTGCAGTAACTCAGATGAGAGCTATCTTGTTTTCGTTTTTCGTAGAAAACTTGCCAAAGAGAGTAATAGAAAATCACGGCAAATCTTTGTCAAGATTACAGATTCGAATCGAGTTTCGGTCACAGGACCTTTCGAATGTGCAGTACGAATGTGCCCTTGATATAATTATAGACGTCATTTATTCAATTATCGTGAAGCTCGCAGGATAAAAGACAACACTCAGTTGCCACACCCAACATTGGTTTCAACATAGGTCACTCTTGTTGTCAGCTGAATCCCATAACAGCAATCATTTTGCCAGGCCAAGCTGTGGCGTAACATCGTATATGAGAGAGGCACGCCCCATACAGGCTGGGACACACTGTTCGCAGTTTCACTCTGTCGCGTCATTTTGTTAGCTTCATAGCTGTTCTGAATAGAGGGACGCTTTATACGACTGAGGAAGCTTACAATTGGTACAGGCGAATCAAGATGTACGACACCATTGATACAGGAAACACTGAAAATTAGATTCACATATACATTAGGAGCAGACGACGTTCAAGGATAGTTTGCTATCATAATTTTAGAGTATTTTATCGCCCATTTTCCTATCGACGAACATAAATACAATCAAATTGTTTTGTATAGTTATGTACATGATCTGTCACCCTGAGCAAAGATCTTAGATTGAGAATGCTCTCAGAATAGGGTACTGAGAAGTATACTTGCACCTAAGAGACAGAAAGTAACAGGTTACAAAACGTACGTAATAATAAGCATTCGAGTTTTACCATTTGTTCAGTTAATGAAATATTAATAGGCAATCAAATCATTGATCATGAAATGGGCTAGGCATGCGAATTGCGTACTAAATTTTATTGTGAACACGTGAGGAGAAGAGACAATTTGTCTGGCCTGGGCGCAGATGGGAAGGTAATATTCAAATGCATCTTCCAGCAAATGGGAAGGACTTGTATCGGATTCATCTGGGTCACGGTAGAGACGAATGGCGTATACTGGATTCGTCTTTGTACCATTCATCAAACGCCAAGGAACCTCAGTTGTT